GTGGGGAGGGTATTTGGGGGGAGGGTGAGTTCGGCAGTGGGGAGGGGAGGTGGGGTTACGGGGGTGGAGGTAGGGGCGGGTGGGGTTGGGGAAAGGTGGTGGTGAAGCGGGACGCTGTCCTCCATGTCATCGAGAAAATCATATGCGGAAGGAGAGGATTGAGGGGCGTAGGGAAAACACGAATCATCGAAGGTGACATGGCGGGAGATGATGATCTTATGGGTGGTGAGGTCCAGGCAGCGATAGCCACGTTGAGCTTCTGGGTAGCCAAGAAAAATGCACCGAGCAGAACGTGGGGCTAGTTTGTGGGGGGCAGTGGCAGAGAGGTTAGGGTAACAGAGGCAGCCGAAGACGCGAAGATGTGAGTAGGATGGGGGGTGCGATATAGAACTTCATGTGGGGTGCGATTGTTAAGGGTGGTGGTGGGGAGAATATTGAAGAGATGAGTGGCCATGTGTAGGGCTTCTACCCAGAAGTGAGGAGGAAGGTTAGCATGAAAGAGAAGAGTGTGGACAGTGTTGTTGATTGTGCGTATGGTACGTTCTGCGCGGCCATTCTGTTGGCTCGTGTAGGGGCAGGAGAAGCGAAAAAGAATTCCGAGAGATTCAAAAAAAGTTGCAAGGGGGTTATTTCTATATTCAGTGCCATTGTCACATTGTATAGATTTTATGGTTGTATTAAATTGATTTTTAACAAGAGCATGGAATTTAACAATATGAGAGTAAGCATTAGATTTGTGGTGTAGGGGAAAAATCCATAAATAATGAGAAAAGTCATCTAATAAAAACATATAGAATTTCAAACCAGTTACACTAGGAACAGGAGATTGCCATAAGTCGGTGTGCATTAATTGAAATGGAAAAGTTGAAATACGACTTGAAGACTGAAAAGGGAGGCGTACATGTTTGCCTAGTTGACATGCATGACATAAAAAATCTAATTATGATTTAGAAAAACTAGCTAAAGAGGATGACACGCCATGGAGAATAGCGGGGCTGGGGTGTCCAAGCCGTTGATGCCAGGTGGAGAGATCGACTTGGGCTGAATTGAGGTGGGCGTTGGAGGGCGCTTGGGAGATGGGGTAGAGAGGTCCGTCACTATTGGATCGATGAATCACGGCTCCCGTCAATTTGTCCTTTACAGAGAAACCACAAGAGTCAAATTCAATGGTGCAATTATTATCACGAGCAAATTGACGGACAGATATGAGATTATG